AGATGAGCCGCAGACACTGCCATAACCCAAGGACAGCTTTCAGAGGGGGCCACGTCACCCTGTAGATACCACGATGCTTCACCCCTCAATACTTCAGCATGTATCTTCTAACTAAAGGGATACCCTGCTGCGCAACCACAGGCAATTGAACAGAGGACAGCGTCACCGGCCGGTCCCATTCACAGATGGACCTCCTGAAAAGAGACTCCGACTCTCAGGGCCTCAGAGTGGAGGGAGCTCAGGGGTCTTGAGTTTCTGATTTAGCTGATACTAAAATCTATCACCCCGTAAGGGACTCTGATAAACAGGGTCCCTTCCTTTTTTTAATTAAAAATATTTTTTTTGCTATAGGGCACATGTGCCTGCCAGAGATGAAGATGATGATGAGAGAGGGAGAGAGAGAGAGAGAAAGTATCTCCCTCGTGGGGCGGGCAGTGCATACTGCAATCCTCTCCCATTCTTTTCTTGAGATTTAGGGCACGCACATGTGTCTGGTGTCTTTTTCAAGCTGCTGGGTCCAGGACTTGAACTGCGCAGTCCACGTGGGATCTAGCTGCCTTAATCTCACTACCTACTCGCCTGGGTCTCCTCCTTCTGAACACTCCTTCCAGGCCATGCCATATCTGAGCAGCCTCTGTGGCTAGCACACTGTCCCTCAAGGAGCTGAAAGGTGTCCAAGCCTCACAAACTCCCGCCTGGACAGCCCTGTCACCTCCAAAGCCAGGCAGGTGTCTGGAGGAAAGGCAGGCACCCAAATAGCTGACCAGGTGTGGTGACAGGGCTCGGCCTTGTTACCATGCCCTCTGAACTCAGACCAGAGGTTCTTCTAAAAGCACACAAGCCCGTATTGTGAGACACCGTCCGAGTACACACAGGAGCGAGGAATCCTCTCCAGAGTACGCATGGCAAACAGCAAAGAGCCCTTAGACACCCGCACCCTCACTGTGACAGGAGACACACATGAGGAAGTTCGACGTGGCTGTGCTTAGACCCCAGCACCTGACTGTGTGGGAGGCTCCTGGAACTCTGCTTCTCCCAGAAAGATGGAGGGAGGGCCAAGTCCTGGCTGCTGGTGTCGCCCGGGGAGCGCGGCTTGCTGCCGCTCTTGGCTATCTCTCTTTTCTGTGAGAGAAATGGGGTGGCCTTGCCAGACAGTGCTTTATGTCAGCGGGGGCAGCTGCCCCGGGACATCTTGGCCTCAGCTTAGGTGGCCTTTCTCCAGGCAGGAGCCCAGCATGACCGCAGGGTCGTAAAACCCAGTGGGGACCGAGTGGGAGGGAGGGAAGCGGTAAGTGGGAGGGCCGGCTGGCTCAGCAAGGGCCTCAGGGGCGGCCGTTAACACCCCCACCTGAACCTGGGGCGAGGACAACTGCAGCTGTACCCGTCTAAACAGGCACGTGCACGTATGAGGACATACACACTCACGGGTACGTGCGATGGGTTAAAAAGACACGTAGGGGCTAGCAGGTGGCAGGCTAAGCTGCTTGACTGCCCGTGGTTGCAGCCCCGGACCTGGCAGCTTGCTTTCTCACTTGCTCTCTCTCTCTCTCTCTCTCTCTCTCTGTGTGTCTTTCTCTGGTGAGCACATGTGCCCTATAGCAAATTAAAAAATAATAATAAAGAAAACAAAAGAAATAATTCCTTACTTTTTTTTGGAGAAATTTTTGTTACAGAGTGCATGCACTTGTCAGAGAGACAGAAAGTGAGAAATCACCCCCCGGTAGGAATGGCCACACCCCAATCTCTTCTCCATTCTCTTGGGATTTGGGGCATGCATGCACATGTGCCCAGCATGAGTTTTTAGACAGCCAATTCCAGGACTCAAACCACTGTTGACTACATGAGAGTCCAGCGACATAACCGTTACACCATCTGCTGATCCCAATAAAATAAATTATTCTAAAAAAAGACATATATGTATATACACACATATGTATATGTGGTGGGTTATAACACACACACACACACACACACACTCAAAATATGTGTGTGCTTATACATATATTTGTTTTTTAGCCCATTAAATTTCTCCTAAATTAACAGAGAAGGCGGGAAAGGGAAGGGAGAATCAGCCCAGCAGACTCAAAGTGGCCCGGACTGCTGGTGAGCTCGGCTCTCAACCTGCACTGAGGCTCTTCCCTGAGGCCTGCAGGGCAGGAAGGGCCTCCCAGTCCTCCCAGGCCCTGTGAGTCCTCACCAAGCACGACACCAGGCTCTGCAGATGTGCTGAGGGTGCTCCAGGACAAGGGTGCATCCTGAATTACCGGGAGGGCGGAATCTACAAAAGTGGAGAAACTTTCCAGCTGGGGTCTGAGAAATGCGGAGGAGGACGAGGCAGGCGAAGGTTGGAGAGCAGGAAGGGTGGGCAGCTGCTGCTGGCCTTGGAGATGGGGCAGGCCAAGAGGTGGGAATGTGGGGCCTTCTGGAAGCTAACACCCCTGCTGACAAGGAAATGGGGACCCGAGTCCTCCATCCTGTGAATTTAGTCAACGACCTGAGTGAGCAACGGAGGGCTCTCCCCTGGACCATGAGTGGAGAGCCCCAGCTGGCTGACGCTCGGATTTCAGCCGGCAGGCCCAGGGCAGAGAAAGCCGCTGAGCCTACTGGTTGATCTCCAGGCCGTGCGGTAATGCATCCGGATCGTTCAAGCCACCGAGTACGTGGCTGTGGGTCCTGACAGCAACAGGAGGCTAACGCTGTGCGTGGCTTTCGGCTGGAGAGTCTGGCAGCCGGGTCTGGGTTCTGAGAGGCCGCCATGCTGCCAGAGCCACAGTGGCTGCCACAGGCTCCGCCCGCTTGTGCGCGGG